AAAAAAATTGTAATAAAATTTGGTAGATCTTTCAATATTTTTTTAATTAAAAAACTCAGTTTTTATGTTTTATGTTTATGTTTTTTATGTTTCATCAAACGTGTTATTCACATTTTTTGTCGATTTCTAAAGACATTTTTCAAAAACTTCTAAACAAAAATCGGATTGTTAAAAACGTATTTGGTTAAAAATTCCACTTAACAAAAAACAACAAAATGCTATCAAAAAATAAAGTTTTAAATAGTAATAAAATCAGAAATCACACCCATTTAAAACAACTACAGTGCGATCAAAAAGTCTTTCTATCAAGTAGGCGTCCTAGTTGAGGACGTATGTTATATGACAGTTCGTATGTTATCCAGATGTCAAAAAAATAATTAAAAAAAAATTAAATCATTGAGCTAATTAAATTGAATTATTCTATAAATCGTCTCAAAATATCCTAAAATGAAATTTTGATGGTGTTTATTCATAAAAATCATTCACCACGGTTTCCTGTTATAATTTACATAAAAATTATTTTGACATTTCTCATTTGCCATTGTGACATTTTATCTTCCACAGACATACGTTTTAAATTTCTACGCTTGCTTGATAGACAGACTTTTTGATCGCACTGTACTTCGTCATATCTAAATATTTAATTAAAAAATTATGATTTTCCAAGTTTTTATGTTTGAAGCAAAACTAGATAAATACCTGTTTCTTTTTATTTTTTCTAAATCCTCTACCTCTTCAATTTTCTTCATTCACTGTTCTGTTTTTTAAATAAAACGAAACTATTTTTTATTTCATTTTAATCTCTGTTGCAACGAAACACCTATTTATAAATTGTGAATAATAATCTGGAACGTAATAAACTTTAAAGAAAATCCGATAAGTCTCTCTTATCAATTATCAATTATCAATATCAATTGATAACAAACACAACAAAAGGCAACAAAACCAGTAAAAAATACTTGGAACCAATAAATTTTTCATCTAATTCAATTATCTAATGCACCATTCTGATTCCATCAAAATGTATGTCATCCATCATTGGGGCTTCGAAGGGTTGACCCGAGGCGTAAAAAACTATAAATCATACAAACTCCTCAACATTTTCGTGATGAGGAAGGTTCAGTTGCAGAGATATCTCTAGGTAATACTTAAATTTCGTTCGAAAAGCTGCCGGCAATGCACTGTGTTTTAAATGAAATTAACAAAAAATCACTTTAAATTCTAATTAAAAAGGGATCAGAAATGGAGTTTATTACATTTTTGTCAACTCTTCTAGGTCTAATAATGCTCTCTTACTGTAATTTCTTTATGTTCATTGTTTTTCCACACATTCTTATCCGAGGCAACCTACATGGTTTTCTAAAAGTGAAAAAATCGAAAGATAATAATTTTTTCATACAACCTGTACAATTATCGAAATTTAAGTAAAATACAAGGTGCGCCAGAACTCGTGCCCCAGAGAAAAATGCCATATAAGGTAAGATATCAAAAACATGGAAAAAATGTTAAAAAAAATTATCTATAAAAAGAAAGACTCGACGATTATACATATACAGGGTGGATCAATAATATCCAATTTGTCTTATATACTTTTTTTATTTAAAAACATAAAAAAACGCTATAAAGCTTAAGTATACGAAATATACAGAGTGCGCCAGAACTCGTGCCTCAGAAAAATGCCACGTAAGGTAAGATACCAGGAACATGGAAAAAATGTTAAAAAATTCTGTCTACAAAAATTTCGAAGTTATGAGAGTTTAAATTTTGCACTTTGACTCAATTATTTCGCCACATTATTTCAAAAATAAGTCAAGTTTTTTTACGAGGTTTTACTAGACAAGGTCAAAAAAATCACTAAATTGACTTTTTCGAGAGAGTCAGCACATTTTTCAGCTAAAAACACAGTTTTCTTGCTAATTTTTCTTAAAAATGAGCCGAAAATTAAGCCAAAATAGTGTTATTTTTCTCTTTTTGAGTGTTTAAGCACGTTTTTGAGGAAAAAAAAACCGATTTTTTAAATAATCAAGTTACATGAAAATTAATATTATTTTAGCCTGTTGTGCTCGATTTAGTTTGTTTTTTAACCAGACTCACAAATTTGTTAAAAAATTGTTTTTGTTTTCTTACGAGATTTCTCAGAGAGGGTCGAAAAATCGCTAAATATGACGTTATTTTTGGTTTTTTACGTGTTTTAATACAACTTTTGGCTATTATTTCGTAAAATTTTGTTAAAAACAAGCTCAACAATTATCGATGTAGGTTAATAATAGTGATATTTTTATCTTTTTTAGTGTTTAACCAAGTTTTTGGGGAAAAAAAACTTTTTTTTGAATTCTTTTTTGCAAAATCTGGGAGAAAAATTGCTAAATTAGAACAAGAACTTGTCAAAACACGACTAAAAATCACAAAGATTGGA